CACTGCCTAGTGCAGGGGTCAACAAACTATTTTAGGGTAAAAGATCAAATAATAAATATTTCAGACTTACATGTTACATAGTTTCTATTGTAACCACTCAACTCTGCTATTGCAGCCATACATAATATGTAAATGAATGGGTGTGAGTTGTGTACCAATAAAACTTTATTCACAAAACTAGGCAGTGGGTTGATGTGCCCCTAGTTTGCCAAGCCCTGAACTACAGAAGGACTCCTGTTGTGGCACTGTAGGGTAACCATTAGACTGCAAATTGGCAGTTCAAACCCACCGGCTGCTCCTCAGAAACCCAATACAGTGTCACTATAAATTGAAACCGATTTGATGGCACTTAACAACAATCACCAACAGAAACTAAAAGTCTATTTATCTTCTTCTTGATTTAAAATAGAAGTTTGTGGGTAGTACAAACAATTAGGCACTCAACTACTAGCTGAAACACTGGAAGTTCAAACCCACCCAGAGACCCCTTGGAAGACAAGCTTGGCAATTTGCTCCTGAAAGGCCACAGCCTTGACAATGTTATGGAGCAAATGCTATGGAACAGCTGTACTCTTCACACACAGGGTCCCCAGGAGTCAGAGTCAGCTCAAGGGCAACTCACAACAATAACAGGGCCAGGTAAATGACATTTCTCCCTTTAATAGCAAAAAAATGAAAATGACTGAATGACAGACGTCTCCCTAGTCGGTTTTAGTGATTTTTCAACATCCTACTGATCATTCAAACAAGTGGTCTGCATGTGTTCCAGCCACATTGGTCTTTCCAGTCCTTGGCCATGTTCCCAGCTCAGAACCTCTGCCCTTCCTGACTCCCCAGCTAAGAAGAGCTCCCCCAGCCCTCTGCCTGCCCGATTCCTTCTTGTCCTCCAGTTGTTAAGGAAAGGGCGTTCCCTGACTAACCATTCTCAATTATATCACAGGGAGTGGAGCAAGTGAACAAGGTGAGCTTAAGATAAGGTGGGGAGGGGGGCAAGTCAGGACACTTTCAAGAAGTTTTGCTACACAGGAGAGCACAAAAATAGTGTTAGTTATTAGGCAAAGAGAGCCCAAGAGATGTTTTGGTTTTGCTTTTAAATGATGGGAAGAAACAACAGCATGTTGGTGTAAATAGATTGTGAAGAGAGAACTTCTGTAGCAGAGTTCTGGACTAGGTGTAATCAGAAAGAAGCAAACCAAAGGTGATCCAGGGCTTGATCTAAGCAAAAAATGAAAAGCTGTCCTCAAGTGAGTGTGGGAAGGCAGGGTTGTGGCAACACAGATAAGTACAGTGATCAGTCCAGTTTCTGACACATCACATTTCAGATGCTTTTTAGACATTCATGTGGATACATTGAGTAATCTGTTCCTGGAGTTCAAGAGAAAGGTCTGATTGAAGCTATCTGTGAGTCATTGACATAAAGATGATACATAAAGCCATGAGATACAGATTATAGAGAGTATAGATTGGGAAGGAAAAACCACTAAGAACAGAGCACTGGAGCAAATCAATGTTAAAAGACCAGGGGAAGAAGAGAAACCAATAAAAGAGACTGAGAAAGGGCTGCCGGTAAAGTAGGAAGAAAGCCATGAGACCATGAGATTTCAAAATCCAAGGGAGTATCCATTCTTGTTAAAGCTGTCGATGGGTCAAATTCAGTGAGGACTGAGGACTAAATAATGTAGAGATCACTGGTGACACTGACAAGAGCAGTTCTGGGAGTGGTTCAAGTGAGCAAGGTGAGCTTAAGGTAAGGAAAGGAAGTGGAACACAGCAAGCAAGGAACCTTTTGAGAAGTTTTGCTGCAGAATAGAGCACAGCAATGGTGGTAGTTCTTAGGCAAAGAGCACTCAAGAGATGTTTTGGTTTTGCTTTTAAATGACAGGGAGAAACAACCGCATGTTTGTGTTAATAGTGAAGAATTGATGGTATAGGAGAGAAGAGAGAACTTTTGGAGCAGAGTTCCAGATTCGGTGGAAGGAGGTAGGTCTAATACAGAAGAGGAAGGTCTAATTCGAGACAGTAGCATTTTTGTGAGGGTGAGGATGTGGGTGAGATGCTGACAAGCAGATAAGAGCCATGTGGGCGTCTCAGGATGCTTTCTGCTTTCTTCTGTATGTTTCCATTTTCTCAGTGAAGCTCTAGAAGCAAGGCCTTTCAGCAAAGGATAAGGATAGGAAAGGAAGTTATGACAGAGAAGTTATGAAATAATCACTGAGGAAAGTGGGAAGTGAATCAACAAAGGCTATGTAATCTGGTTAAGCACCCAGCTGATATGTATAAAAGATTAGAAGATCCCTATAATGGAGTATAAGGAGCTCTGGTAGCTTAGTGGTTAGGAATTGGGCTGCTAACTTCAAGGTCAGCAGCTCAAAACTACCAGCTGTTCCGCGGGAGAAAGATGAGGCTTTCTGCACCCATAAAGATTTACAGCCTCGGAAACCCTGTGCAGGGCCACTATGAGTCGGAACCAACTCCATGGTACTTAACAACAACAATAATGGAGTACTGGTGTGGTGCTATAAAATAAGCACTGGACTGCTAAAAACAAAGTCGGCAGTTCAAACCCGCCAGCTGATCTTTGGATCAGCTATGATCCTTGGATCAGTTATAAGTTGGAATCAATTTGATGGCACTTCAAAACAACAGCACAAAGAATTAGTAAATGCCTCGAAGGCATTGTTCGATAGCTCATAACCTTTTAAATCAATATCTCCCAATAAATACAAACTTAAATAATTCTCAGAGACATAATGAAACAAATGTTAATATTTAAATCCCAGGGAATGTAGTTCCCCAGAGATTATCATCTTATCAGTAACACTATATTGCAAATTGTGAAATATGATTCACAACAGAGTAAAATGTTCAAAGGAACCCTAGTGGAACAATGGTTAGCTGCCTGTCTGCTAACCAAAAGGTCAGTGATTCTAATCCACCAAACTGCTCCACAGCAGAAAAGACCTGGCAACCTTCAGCTTAAGAATCCCTATAGAGCAGTTTTACTCTGTCCTGTAGGGTTGCTGTGTGTTGGAATCAATTCAACGACATACAATTAACAACCAAAATGGCTAATGGACAACAATTAACTTTTATCCGATACCTATATTGTAATAACTTAGAGTCTCTTCTAATAGCTTCTCATTTTTGTTACCTATATCTTCAGTTCCCTCAACTAGGGTGCTGAGAGACAACAAGGGGTATGTTCCCGACGGGGAGTGATGAAAGCACTTTCCCCTCATAACACAGAACGGATACAGAAGCTTGTTAAAAATTAATTTAATAAGATCCAGTAATAAATCGCTAAGAGCAAAACAAGATAATGAACTCAGGCACCAAGAGGCATTTATGCCTACAGACAACAACAACAAAATAAATATATAATGTAAACCCAGTGCAGCTAGTTCATATTATTTTGATGAAAACTGTTATGCAACCTGTTTTTTTCATGAAAGACAACATTTTGACTGACACTGAAATATTTAAATAACCAACACAAACCAGTCTTTTCTCTAGTCCTTGTTTCTATTCTAAAAGCTTAATTGGGGGAGCTAAGTGTACTGACCCACAGAGCTAGAACCAAGTGACTTTAGGTTGACGCTTATGGTGGAATGATGTACCCTGTGAGCATACATCAGCAGCCCTAAAAGAGCTTGGTAGCATTGTCAAAACAAGGCAGAGGCCAGGCTAGAGGGTCAGAGAGAGGCCAGCCTGCTGGCATGTCAGAGAAGAAGCTTCTCCTGAACAAATGATTATATTCTGACTATTTCTGGTCCCGCATGGTAATCTGTAACTTCCCTAAAAAATTCACAATCATGAACATTGTCTTTAGTTCTATGTGACCACAGTAATGAATTATCAAACCCAACTGAGAAGTAGACAGTGTGGTGGGGACAGTTGGTATCATAATAGGATAAAGAAGGTTGGAGGATGGAGGCATGTCTGATCTCAGTCTTGGACTGATGATGGTGATTCTCCTCCTCCCTGCCTGTGAAGCCAGAGGAGGTCAGACACCATTCTCCTTACCCTTTTTTACCCTACTAATACTGAACATTTTGATCAAAGATCCTGTAGAAGAATCAAAAAGGGGTATACACAGAACAGAATTTAAAATTCTCATGGAGTCATGGAGGCTGAAAAAGTCCCTGAAGTAATCTGTAGTAGTAGTCTCTGAAGTAATCTTTAAACCTTAAACTGAAAATATCCCTTGAAGTCTTCTTAAAACCTCACAATACTTTAGCTTAACTGGTGAAGAATGTCAGCTTTGAACATTACACTCTTTTAAGAACTATGGGATCTTTTAAGAACTATATAAGATCAAAGTGACAATAGTAACTCAAAGACCTGTACAGCAACATTGTCTGTGGGGCCATGAGTTTGTTAGGAGGTAAAGGACAATTCAGAAAAGAAGGGTGGGAATGGATGCACAAGTCCAAAAATGCAATCGGTACTCATGTTCTGCTGTGTGTAGTCTCAACAATAATAAATATTTTGAAAAAGAAGTCAGACACGAATGCATAGTATCTATTTATATTCATAATAAGTTCAAAAATAGGCAAGATTTGTTAGAGGTCATGAGAGGGTCATTCATGGAAGGAAGAGGGCAGTGAACTGGAAGAAACAAGGCAGCCAGCAAGGCTGGTAATCCTTTGTTTCTTTACCTGGATGCTGGTTACATGGGTATGTTCATTCTGAAAATTTATGGGGCTGTTTAATTGTGATTCATGCACTCCCTTCTCTATACTGCAATAAAAAGTTTACTGAAAAAAAAAAAAACAGACTGCTCAAAAATTCAGCAAACTAGTATTTTTTAAATTTTACTGTCTTATGAAAATTAATTTGCTATATTAAAACTAATTATTTTTATTAAATAGAAATCTTTTAAGTACTAGAGAAAGAAAGATTTGAATGACTATACAATCATACGATAAAATAAGAAAATAAGTTATCTTTACTCCCATATTACAGCTCCCAAGAAAATCTTTTCCAATAAATCAACTTACCTGAGTTGTTTTGCATAGCTGAGTTCAATCTCTGTCCTTTCCTTTACAAATTTGATGTATTTCTCAAGAATATCAATTCCCCACTGTGTGTGTTTTTCTAGGTTGTCAAACTGATCCTGTTAAAAAAGATAAAGAGAGAGTTTATCATCTTTCTCTACCATTAAAGTGATTTCACCAAACAATTCTCTCAACAATATATTTCTACGTAGAAAGTTGTGCTAATATTTTCCATGATTGTACTCGGGTCCTTTTTTTGTTGAGCACTTTTAAATCAACATTACCAAATTAGGTTTGAAACTGCCTGGAGTACTGAACTCTGACCCATTAGTTCATGTTCCATGTTCCTACTAGAATCATGGTTTTTGGATATAATTAATGTCCTCATGCATAGGAAATGTCTTTCCCAGATACCAAAAACTGACAGATGAGGCACACACATGTCAAACAAACTCACATTATTAGCACTACAACTGTTATCACTGGGTAAGCATTCCAAACATGATTGCAGCTCAGGACAAGGAAGTAGAAGGGAGAGAAAGTGCTAAAAATTCTGCTTTCTTCAAACAAATGAATAAAATACCTTACTGGACTTTATTAATTCAAATTAAAAAAACCCTATACTATTTGCTAAGAATGAATGGTGCTTTGAACTGAGGGACCAAAATGAACATAAACCTGTGGAGTGCCTTGAGTTTCCAAGTCTGGAAGAATGAGAGGCAAGTATTCTACCAACAAGGAATGCAAAGACATGAAGCTGTCCAAGAACCAGGTGGATTTGTCCTTCTGGAGAACAAGGTGGTGGTGAGAGGGCAAGGTGCAAGGGGATGGGCGAGTGGTGAATGATGAAGACAGACCAGCATGGGCCAGATCACCAAAGGCTTCAAATGCCAACAGAAAGAGTCTGACTCTCTGGTAGCTACATGTAAGCCACTGAAAGGATTTTTAAGAGAAATAGTATGACCATAGGATAGATTTACAATTTGTGGGAGATGGAAGTCAGAAGATGGTTTCCATAATCTAGATGAGAGAAAATGGGGTCCAGAAGGAAAGGCTTTTACAGACACTTAAGAGACAGAACCACTTGATCTTGGTAACTGAGTAGGTATTAGAGTATAAGGGGGGGGACCTTGAGACAAAGGGAGAGTTCTGCCTTCTGTAACTCGATGGATGGTCCAGATAAGGAGGAACAGCAGTTTGAGGGTGAACGTTAAATATAATTTGTGTGTGCGTTTTTAACTTTTTGTTATAATTGACAGAAAGTTTACAAAACAAATTGGTTTTTCATTCAAAACTTCATACACATTTTGTTTTGTGACATTGATTGCAAGCCCCACAATGTAAGAGTGCTCTTCCCACTTCCTCCCTGTGTTTACCATTTCCATTAGCCCTTCTTTCCTGTCCCTTCCTGCCTTCTGAGCTTTATCCCTGGGCTAAATGTAGTTTCAACTTGTTGAATGAGAGACGGACATGTTAAGAAGTGAGTTGGGAACAAAGGTCTATTCAAACCTCAAGGAGGGAGGCCTACAGCGGGACAGCAGTGAGTTGGTGGAACTGAAGTTATCAGCAAGGATGAGAATGTCAGAGTCTATTGCAACTCTGCATAGACTGAGTAAAGAGGAAGGAGAGTACAGACAACCAGCCTGGAGAAAGCTGTAGCGCAGCACTGCAGGGAAGAGACTTCAAGTAAAGCCAGATCGGAAAGCTTGTTGTCTTCTGAGATGTAACAGGAATAAAGGATAAGCAAAAAGATTAGGCAGGATTCAAGCCCCAGCTCTGGCACTTTATAGAGATAGACCACCAAACATGTAGAGGTTTAGTCCATTGCCTGTAAAATGCAGATTAAAATATCTACCCAGAGGATCATATAAAATGGGACATACCAACTCAAACATAAAAACACAAAATGATGATCTTATCACCTGCATGTGCAAACAGTATACAAAGCCATCCTTCAGTTCTTTTTTTTTAGCTCCAGCATCTTCAGTTAAAGTCTGTCATTGTGCTTTGACTGTATTTTCCATTCAAAGCAGTGCAAACAGTAAAATGAGAACATTTTCCACATAAGCCAAACTTGAGTAGGGTTAGGCAGGTGGTAGAATAAAAAACATTGTTTCTTGAGAAAAATAAGTTTCTCAACCCCTGCACCACCAAGTCCATAAAACATAATTTGAGAAATTTCTACTTAGGAAATGAAGGTGTTATTCTACTAGAATATTTTTTTAATAGAAAATAATTACTATAAAATGTTTGCCTTAATAATTAATCATTTTATGCTTTATAAAAATGAATTATCATTGATTCTTGGTCCTTCCATAACATATTCCATAAACCCCTTGATTCCATTTCAAGAAATACTGGTCAGGAAGGCTAGCTATGCAATTTGTAAAGACGCGTCATCACGCTAAACTACTGCTTGTTTAGCAGTATGCACAAAGCTGTTGCTGTTAGCTGCTATGGCTAACCACCTGCACAACAGAATGCAATGCTATCCAGTCCTGCACCAAGCCCATGATTGGCTGGCTGTGATCTGTAGGGTTTTCAGAAGTAGACTGGCTGCCAAACTTTGTTCCCAGTCTGTCCTAGTCTGGAAACTCCACTGAAACCTGTTTGTTTAGCATCACAACACAAAAGCCCCCCCACTGACAAGACAGGAGGTAGCTGTGCAAACCCAGGTCTTCCTCCTGCTGTTGTGCCTTTGAGTTGACTTTGACTCAAAGCAAACCTGTATAGGAGCGACTGGTGGCTTTTGAACTGCTGATCTTGTGACATTCTTGAGACTATGGCCCTTAGACATCCTTCAAAGATAGAACTAAACCCACCCACAGGGTTCAACTTTCAGCCAAACAACACACAGACCTTATAAAGTGAATAACACCTGTGTGGTGCATACTTATCAGAACAATAACCCATACAGACGGAAAGGGCAGCATTTGCCCAAAAAAACAAAGCTTAGAAGGCAAGAATGGGCAAGAAAGGAAATGGTCCAGGACAAATGGAAATGGAGAACCTAGGAAGGAAATAGGAAGTGTTGTTAGTCACACTGAAAGGATTGCAACTAATGTCACGAAACAAGATGTGTATAAGTTGTTGAACAGAAAACCAATTTGCTTTGTAAACTTTCACGCAAACCACAATAAAATGTTCAAAAAGAAAAAATACTGGCCTTAAACCAGCAATATGTTTTCAATAAAGTTATCTGTATTTGAAAATATTCTGAAAATGCAAATAAAACACTCAAAACAATAGTTCTAAATAAGATAGAAGACCTTAACAATAAAATAAAACTTTTCCTTAGTAACACTTAAGTGAATATTTCACAGTGTATAGAGACAGCATAATTCTTTTTATAGAATATCAAAGCATCTCCAATGATACCACCCTCTGTTGTTACTATCACATGAATCACTGCTGCATGGACTTTTCTGACAGTGGGGGAAAGAAAACTCAAAACAGATGAAAAACTAATCAACTCACTTACATTCTTGACTAAAATGTGGAAAACTTAATGGAAAAAATTCCTAATCTTAAAAAGACTCCTTTGTGAGCAAATATTATAAATGATCCTTTAAAAATATATATGTATAGCCTTTGCTACTTTGGGGATAACACCATTATAAAAATTCTTCCTTCCTGTTTGATGCCACATGCCAGATGCTTTTAAGACCCTTTATTCTTATTGTTAAGTGCCACTGAGTCAGTTCCAACTCATAGCAATCTGGTATAGGGTTTCCAAGGAGCAGCTGGTAAGTTTGAACCACCAACATTTTGGTTGGTAATCCAGTGCTTATCTTACAGTGCCACACCAGGATTCCCAAGACCCTTTGTTGTTGTTAAATGCCGTCAAGTCAGGTTCAACTCAAAGTGACCCTGTATAGGGTTTCTGAGGAGCAGCTGGTGGGTTTGAACTGCAGACCTTATGGTTCACAGTCCAGTGCTGACTCACTATGCCACCAGAAGTCCTCCCAAGACCCTTTAGACCTCTTTAAAATGACTGAAGACCTCCAAAGAACTGTTTAGGTTATGTTTATCTTAGAAACTAAAACTGAGAACTTTTTCAAGTAGTTAATTCACTTAAAAAGACAATGATAAATCAATTACATGTTAATGTATCACCTTTAAAAAAAAACACAACTTAAATTTAAAAAGAGAGTGAGAAAAGAGTAGCATTGTTTAATATTTTTTGCAAATCTCTCTAATGTCTGGCTAGAATCTTATCAGTGCTTCTGCACGCTATCTGTTGTAATTCATTATTTTAGGAGTATTTCAATAGCCTTTTCAGTGACTTGTGGATATTTTCCTTTGATAATCACACCAAAACTTGGCAAATCGTTTCTTAAAAATTAGTTGTGAAGTGAAATCTGATATCACATAGCAATGAATTTTTTGTGCTCAGTTACATTCAAATCCACATGCCCATCTTGCACTCTGATGGCATCTGTCACTTGTGCATGATGGTGTAATACCATTCATTGCTCATTCAGAATGTATTATTTCACCAGTTTATGCAGATCTTCCAAAGGGTGACACGTTCCTTATAAAATATCAAAAAGCACATTTGCTTCTATCATTGGCTATTCTCATTAGAATAGACTAAATGTTTGGAAACTGTCAAGTTCACAATAGTGAGGTTTTAAAATATTCTAATTTTCACTTTAAACTAGAATTGTATCATTGGTAATAAACACTGTAAGCTGTTTCCTTGCAGTGACAGGCTCACTTAAATCATTTAAAGAAAATGTTTGCCATTACATAGTCCACAAAGACAATGTTCTACATCCTACTTTGGTGAGTCTTAAAGACTCATAAGTGATCATTTAAGGTGCAACTGTTGGTGTCTCGCTATCAAGAGGAAAGAAGAGTGATGAAAATTGAAGATGCCTGTAAACAATTAGTCCAATGGACTATGTAATAAAAAGGTCAATCTGCATGATCCTGAGACAAGAACTAGATGGTGCCCAGCTACCACTATCAACTGCTCTGAAAGAGATCCTGGGTAGAGTGGAAGAAAAATGTGGAACAGAACTCAAAATCATTATTTAAAAAAAAAAAAAAAAGACCAGGCTGGAAGAAATGAGGAGGTACAAGACCCGAACAGAAAATTTCAAAATTCAGCTCG